CTGGACTTTCCACCTCTCAATGCCTAAGCTCTCCATCTCTCAATTATGCCTTTTCTATCAGCACCAGTCTTCCTTTCTCACAAGGCACATAGGGGCTGCAGCCAGGAGTCTGGTGCCTGAAGCACAGTTTAGCAAGAGTCCTGTCTTAGTTGCTCATCAGAAAGCTGTGTGGACAGATGGAGGCAATTTTTAGTTTTCCACTTATTAGCAGTTTGTTGCGTAGCATTATCTGTGGTGCAGTTATGACTATATAATTTGAAAGATTAATAAATGAAGCATGAAAGATTTGTGAATTAGTGTATTGTATATTTTTGCAAATGTAAATAGTACCCGCATAGATTAAAAACACATTTAGAGGGAAAACATGGCTGCAGTCCCTCTTTGTAACACTGTCCCAAGTAAACAAATAATGTAGAAATTAAATAATTTAGAGATTCATTTGACCAGACCATGTGGAAGTTTAATCTCAAGTTGTTCATTTCTTTGGATGGATCTAATTTTCACTTGAGACATCTTAAAACAATTTTTTTTTAAAAAAATATACACTCGAAAGAACAAAACATCTTCTCCTTCCTATGTTTAATGAATGGCAGATTTTTAATCCCTAGAATTTAGTAGGAAAGGTGCAGGCAGTCAACATGGAACCGAAATGACCACACCTGCTTGATGTTTCTAGAGAATTCTGAATGGAATGGAATGCCATCACAGATGTATCAAATGTGTCAGCATTAACATTTCATTTTTTTTTCTCTAGAACAGTGGTTTCTAAAAACTGACTTCACAACAGAATCACTTGGGGACCCTGTTAAAAATATAGATTCTTGGCTCATTTAGGGATATCCAGTTCAAATGGAGGTGAAAACCCAACTCACATTCGGAGTCAGTGGCAGTCATATGAATTTACTTGTCTTTGGGGAAGGGGATTGCCCAGGAGAAAATACAAGCTAAAAACTAGCTCTTACATTTTTTCATTAAGACCTAACCTAATAAAAAAGCCGCTTCTGCTACGCAATTGTGGCTCCAATATCATATCTTATGAAGTCCTTTGAATAGCTTTCCATTTCATCTGCGTTTTCTTTCAACTATTTTTAAGTGAGATTCTTTGTACAAAATTTCACAATTTGCCTAATAAATATTTGGTAGGGGACCTTGTACCTTGAAATTCCTCCATGATCATTAGTGACTATTATTAATTGTTAAT